TTCTGTTTCACTTTCTTAATTTATTTCACTTCTACAAAAATCTGCCAAATGTCTTCTTTAAAACAAGACCAATCATATGTCTATATTCCAAAGCATTCTTGAATTACAACCATTTAAGTTTGAAATGTGCATTTTCATGTCTATTCAAAAAAGGGGGGGTGACAGTTAACAGGTTAACCAAGCTTTGTAGATTAAATGTTAACTTGAGTTCATTTAATGATGTGGAGTCCCAGCTCACCCTAGTGTTTTGATACAGTATGTGGTTGAGTTAAAGATGAACTATGCTGTTTTGGTATCATTGAGAGTATCTCCCATTTGTCAGTTTTAATCTAAAACTTACAAAACTCACTGTAAATGATAGAAATGGTGGGCCGAAAGTTTAAAAATCTTGAATTTTACTCAGGTAATGCAAGTAAATTTACTAGCTGAATCACCTATTGGTGATGGGATTATTTTGCTTGGTTGCAGGCAGCTATATTTTAAATTTGATCATATAATAAAATATACGTTATTATAATTTTACAAACACTATAAGTCAAAAGCCTGGGTTACGATTTTTGTAAGGATGCATTAAATTGATCAAAAGTGACATCATGTATAACTTGACATTTATGAGCGACATTTAGAATTTACAAAAAATGATGAGTACAACTGTTTATATAAAATAGTTGTATAGAAAATAGTTATAAGTAATAATAACAATGTTCCAGATCATTGTGGTTTTTACTGTAATACCCCATACTTTTCTTTTCTATTTTTTAAATATATTGTTATTGTGACTACAGTTCATAATATGTTGTGCAGTTTCAGAAATATATGTTTCATTATGTATCCAGACATCATAATTGTAAACTATAACATTTAATTTAACCGATACTATGTTTTATTATGATGTGATCCCTTAATGAGTCATAAAAGGAGCCCAAAACTGGCATAATTCCTTGTTAACTCAGAGAGGGAAGGATCCATGTCCTTTTGTTTAACTTTACTCGCATCTAAAATGCATTAAATCACAGGTAGAATAGAGATTTGATTGCCGTCACAGAAAATGCATCTCAAATCATAATGCTCCATTATTCTGTCTCTAAACCTCCTCAACCCTGATGACTCATACGTATTGAGTTGATTGAGTGGATGAGTTGGTTTCTTTTTTTTTATTATGCATATCAAGGCTATTTGGTTAAAAACAATAAAATATTTCATCAAAATCTTTTTCATTTCCATTTTCTGATGTCTGCCTTTGAATGAAACGTCCTCCTGTTTTTCTAGATGCTGTGACAGACTATCATTGTGCGGTTTGATTACAGGAGTAAATGCAGACACATTGCAGACAGGGTAGACTCTGAAAGGGAAGCTAATATGGGTTTCCTCCAGAGAAGTTCATGGCCTATGGAAAGGATGCTCACCACCTGGAGCTGGCATAAGGCCCGTCACCCAGATGTGTGGGGTGGATGGATATCATGTAGAGCAGTGGGTCATTGAGGCTAGCAGCTGTGTGGCCGGCCTCTTTCTTCATCAACAAATCTCTCTTTAATTAGATCACCTTTTGCCCTTTCCTCAGACGAGCACCCAAACAAAAGTCTTCCATCAAATCTCTCGGCGGGGGTTCTCCTTCTCCCATTGGGATCTCTATTGTTGCACCTGCATCTGAGGCTTGCAGAATATTAAGTCGTTCCAAGTTTCGCTGCTTACTACTGTATAAACCACCAATCGTCCAAAATTCCCAAATGACCCAAAATTCTTTATTTACTCAGCTTCATGTCATTGCATATGGAAAACAAAAGAAGGTATTTTGAAGATTATTGGTGACAGTTTTTTTGTTTTTTTTGGCGCTTTACTGTACTTCCATTTGTAAAAAAGACATTTCTCATATGTGAGCTTGGACCTCAAAACCAGTCACATGGGTCAATTTTCTGAAATCTAGATTTATACATCATGTGAAAGTTGGATAAATAAGCTTTCCATTGATGTTCATTGTTAGGATAGGACAATATAGGTTGAGATACAACTATTTGAAAATCTGGAATCCGAGGGTGCAAAAAAGTCAAAACATTGAGAAAATCACCTTTTTTAATATGACAAATCATATTCAGAAATAGTTAACAATGTTCCTTGTTTTTACATTTTCCCTTTTCCCACAACCCACCCACTGAACCAAAACAAAACAAAACAAAACAACAAAACTAAATAAATTGAATAAAGTATAAAGTTGTTATATTACATACAGTGAGGAAATAATTTACATCATTGTTAGCCTATTGTGTCGAGTTGCATTATCCGTTCCACTGTGCCACAGGCCTTTTAATAACAATATTAGTTTTAGTTTTTTGGGAAGAGTTATGTCCTTTTCAAAATATGAAATCATTGGGGACCATAGTGTGTAAAAACATTTGGTGGATCCTCTAAGAGAATATTTTATTTTCTTCAGTTTGTATTTTCTTCACAAATATACCCATGCTACTTGTGACTGGTTTTGTGATTTTGTGGGTCTGTTCTGTTCCATAGAACTGACTTTTCAGTCCTACAGTTTTGGGGGGAAATTGTATATACGTACACTGTAAAAAAATAATATGCTTTATCTAATCAATAAAATTGTGGCAACAGATTACAAGCAATATTATTTATTAAACTGAACAAATTAAAATTGAGTAATAGTTAATCAAATTCACATTCTAATTAATTCTAATTTGTACAATTTAATTAATAATATTGCTTGTAATATGTTGCCACAATTTTATTAATTAGATAAAGCATATTATTTTTTTCAGTGTATAGCATTTACATTTATTACTTTTTTTATTATAATTTTTCTGATCAGTATTATCTCTTTTTCAGTTTTCTGTATTATTTTTCTGAAATGATCTAATCATAGTTGATGCATAAACTTATCTCCATTCTGTTCATTCTTTAAAATTGCTTAAAATAAAAATTGAATTGTTATATTACATCATACTTCACAAACATGACATATGTTGCCTTCTTTTTTCTTTGTCAGTATCTTTAATGGGCTGAGCAAACTGGAGTGATGTTGATGATATCTCAATTATACGTTTTAGAGTGTTTTAAAGTCAAGACCAATCATATAAATACTATCATCTTATGCATTTAAATTTGCTCAAACTGTATAATAAGCATAGACCCATAGACCCACTCTCCGAATGGTTATTATGAAGTGCCACAGGTCACAAAGCATGTTTGAAATTCCATACATACAAATAAGCATTCAGGATGGACCAGACTCCAGTCTTCAGAAGCAGTATATTACCTCAGCAGTTGGACCGTAGTCTTGCAAACTGCTGTTTGAGAACCCAGAACAGTGTTTCTGGGGAAATCATGTAGCATGTGTCTCAGACCCTGGGGGACTGTGGCTGAAGCAGATATTCAAGCAAATGCACTTGCTATTCATCGGAGAATGGACAAAGACAAAGCAATCTCCACCTGTGAAGATTGCCTGTGCTTCTCACTGTGCAACAGTGTTCTCAAGTGACTCAGAAGACACAGTCTGTCCCTTCCCACCACCAGCCGAGCTCTGCTGCCCGCAGGCTGCCATATGTGCTCCTGCCACGACTGGCATTTAATTACAAATTAGACATTTTCTGTCACCGCATATGGATGAATTATATAAAAATGGGTTAAACTGTAAAGATGCAAGAGGAATCTTCGTATGCTTGTGAAAAAATAAGGGAGCGGTTTGGAGAAAGGAGATGCAGAGCTCTTTACTGACTGGTTTTCCAGTATTATTTTGACTGGTGGAAGTAGCTAGCGATTGATGGGGGCAACATGAAAGATATTTAGTCCTCAAAGATACAACACCCCCCCTTCCCTAATTAAATTAGATGTGCTTTCTACCATCTCTCCCAGCCTTCATTCTCATATTAGATATAAACATTCCCAAACAGCGTCTGTTTGTGGTCTGTTAATATGGCGTGATTTCACGCAACATTATGGTCTCCATAAATATGCCACCCACTATTTGAACTGAGCCACATTGCTTCATTGTAATAACAAAATCACTTTCTTAAACAGTAAATGTTCTTGTTTTCCTGTAAAAATAATATATAAAGATTTTGTTGTTGTTGTTTTTGTAGATTTTACACATTTGGCAGACTGTTTAATCGAAAACGACATCTTTTCAGGTCGTGCATTCCCTGGGAGTCGAAAACCTCATAATAATAATAATAATAATAATAATAATAATTCGTTACATTTATATAGCGCTTTTCTGGACACTCAAAGCGCTTCACATAGAAGGGGGGGATCTCCTCAACCACCACCAATGTGCAGCATCCACCTGGATGATGCGACGGCAGCCATAGTGCGCCAGAACGCTCACCACACACCAGCTTACTGGTGGAGAGGAGACAGTGATGAAGCCAATTGGTGTATATGGGGATGATTACGAGGCCATGATGGACAGAGGCCACTGGGCAAATTTGGCCAGGATGCCGGGGTTACACCCCTGCTCTTACGAAAGACATCCTGGGATTTTTTATGACCACAGAGAGTCAGGACCTCGGTTTAACGTCTCATCCGAAGGACGGTGCTCTTTTTGACAGCATAGTGTCCCCATCACTTTGCTGGGGCATTAGGACCCACACAGACCACAGGGTGAGCACCCCCTGCTGGCCACACTAACACCTCTACCAGCAGCAACCAGGCTTTCTCAGAAGGTCTCCCATCCAGGTACTAACCAGGCTCAGCCCTGCTTAGCTTTAATGGGCAACCAGTCTTGGGCTACAGGGTGATATGGCTGCTGGCTAAATAACCTCATAACCTTGGCATTGCTAGCACCTTAAACAATATATTAAATATTGAAGAAAAATGTTTGTTTTAAGCATAAATGTAACCTAATTTTGTTGAAAAAATGTTTTTTTTGTTTTTTTTTTTGGTTTCTTTAATTATTTTTTATATGTTATTGATTGCATGTGCAATTCTCAGGTCTAGTCATTAGGCAAGAATTAAATATATATATTTTATTATTATTATTATTTTTTTTATAGCTGGAGGCTGCTCTTCATAATCCTGTTCAGTGTGCTTTACTTGGTGTTTCAGCGGTGAGCACTTCACTTCCTCAAGGCTACCTCTGGGTAAGTAGATACAGAAGCACAGAAAACATACATATCATAAACCGTGAACTGGTGACATCAGAGATTGAATAGACTAGTTACATTTACACTTGATGCTTTTTATCTGTTAAATGATTAAATGCAATTATTGATCCTCATCATTCCTCACCATTAAACCACAATGACAAGCATTAATTTACCATTAAGTTACATAAGGAAATAACTTATGTTCTGCAAAGAAACTTTGCCATATAAAACAGCTTTTCATAACAAGCCCTGTGAAATCACCTTTAAAAGTTTCACACAGTAGTCTTGTTCTCCTCCCTCCTCTGGTGCAGTGGGCAATTTATCACATAATCCCCCAAAGCAGGGGGATAAATCCAATTCAAGCCTTGGTTGGACACAAAAGGACGCCCTTGCCTGTGTCTTTGAGTTAATTGTTTTTGTGGGTATTCTAAAGAGCATTGAGGGTGGACTTGGGCGGATTTAAAAGATACAGGGAGATTCAGTGGGAAATTATATCTGGCTGGATTAGGTTCTCTTTCCAGTGCCAAAAATCCTTAGTATTGCATATCCAAAATATAATTTTGTCGACATCTGATCCTGAATCCAAATCTCACTCTGTAGCTTAAAGCGCAGGGGTCAGTTTTTTAATACATCTCAGTGCATCCATTTAGTCTCAATGGGGTTGGCAGTGTTTCTCATTAAAGTGTTAAAATATGTTATTATGAAACACTTGAAAATATATGTATTTTTGTGCTTTGCAGCTGTGCTATGAATTTTTGTCTCTAGTTCAGATATATAAATGCAGGTAGGTTTGGTCCATTGCGTACTACAAGACCAAATGCAATCAAACAGGGCATGGTAATATTTTGCGGTAATAAGGAATAGCAATACAATTTAAAGTTTGTGTGGTTAGACATGACAAATCTGAGGAAAAAAGGTTTGTTTGAGGCACTTAGTAGCAAGTAAGCTAACATGCCTGCTTTGCTTTCTGAGTTGTGGCTGTGAAATCATCAGGAGAGAAATTCAGATCTCAAGTCTACTTAAGTTTTTTTGAGGTGAGTTTTTTTCTATGCAGTCTTTTGTACTCCACACAGATTTATTATTATGGTTGCAGCTATTTAGCTGCACCTAAAACTCTCAACAAACTGATAGTTGGCAGTTCTTGGCTATAATAAGCTGTGATGTGGACCAGACTTTATCCTAGTCAATAGCCTTGCTGTACAAGCTTACAGTAGGGTTAAAGAAACCCCTAAGGCAATCAACACATCTTCGGCTTATAGTGGGTGTCATTTCTTGGTGAACTCGACTGGGCTGAGAGAGGAAATGATTCAGTCGTTTCTACTTCCAAACTTATAAGGAACTGATATCACATAATCATCATTATAACGGGCAGTTTTCACTGCTAGTGTTCCAAATGAGCAGTGACAGTAATCAGATCACTCTGAGATGGGCTGCTGGCATTTTTCTCTTTGCTTAGATCAAAATAATAACATTGTTTCTAATCAGTTCAATACAATAAGCCAGCCAGTCATCCGCCAAATGCTGCGTTCAGACTACCAGCGACTTTGTCGCTGCATGTTGCCAGTGGCTGGCGGTGAGGTTGCTAGTGGGCGTTCCTATTACTGGTTGCCTAGCAATGTTTGTGAATGACATTCACGGTTGTTATTCCAAGTTGTACACATCGAATCACTTTTCTCGCCACTACAAATAAACATTTTGGAAGGAAAAGTCTTCATACAAATGGAATCAGTACATACAATGCCTAATATTAAAGGGATACTCCACTTTTTTTGGAAATAGACTCATTTTACAACTCCCTCAGGGTTACCGTTTTCTGGTTTTACCGTTTTACAGTTTTCGAAATTTAGAAGAATATCAGTAACCAGAGAGTTTTTGGTCTCATTGACTTCCATAGTAGGAAAAAAATATACTATGGAAGTCAATGGGTGCGTTCCATTCGACAGGGTCCCTACGCAGAGTTCACTGCTCCCTACTCCCTGAACATGGTATATCAGTTGAAGTGGACTTCACTGACTTCCTGTGAAGTGATGTATCGATGTCCCCTTATTCCCTATGCCGTTTGCAGTGCCCTTCGAACTGAACATGTTCGTTCCCTTCGAATTGTAATCTCACTTAAGATGGCGAAATACCCTGTGAAGTCCACTTCGCAGTCCACTTACGGTCGAATGGAACGCACCTAAAGAGACCAGAAACGGTCTGGTTACTGATATTCTTCTAAATATCGGAAAATTGGCTGAATGGATTCAAAAACGGTAAAAACTCAACTGTTTAACTCTATGGGAGTTGTAAAATGAGCCTATTTCCAAAAAAGTGGAGTACCCCTTTAAGATCAATGAAATTGTGGCTATTTATCTGCAGCAAAAGGGCAAATGAAATGTCTATCTGGTTTCTGGTCAAAATCATTCAGGCTTGGAGTCAGCACGACGAGTACCATTGTATGCACATGGAGAGATATCATGAATCCCTAGTACTGCATATCCAAAATATAATTATAAATATAATATAATCCAAAATATCCACATCTGATCCTGAATTCAAATCTCACTCTGTAGCTTAAAATGCAGGGGTCAGTTTTTTAATATATCTCAGTGCATCCCTTTAGTCTCAGTGGGGCTTGCAGTGTTTCTCATTAAATGTGTTAAAAAATGCTATTATGCAACATTTGTAAACTTATCGTAACTTACAGGACAGTTGCCGACAGCTAAAATGAGCTCCATCTTGCCTCGGCACTAAAGAGCGACTGATCATATGCTCTACACTGACTTTACTACTTATGGTTGTTGCTCCCGAAAGTCGTTCTTCGTTTGCATAAAGTTGAACATATCTCAACTTTGTCGAGTTGCTGCACAAGCCCCATTCGGTCTCCAATGGTCGATGTCTCTCGTGTCGCCGGAAATCACCCACTCTCCATTGAAATTAATGGGATCATGTCTATTTGTCGCTTGTAGTGTGAATGCAACTAAATTCACTCTTCTTTGCCCTCTAGCTGAGGCTCAGCTATTGATTTTTGCTTGTGTTCACTGTGTACTTCCTGTGATTTTCATATAGTTAGTTGGTTAATAATGACCAAAGTAAGTAGTATGTTGATCTAGTGTATAATGATAAGATGTAATGAGTTATTACAATTGTTAGACTTGTATGAATTTTGTAATACTACTTACTTAAATTTGAATTATACGTCAAGAATTGGACTGGAATATAAAATGCATAATGATTTATTTCTAAATGGTGCATACAGCATTATTTTCACTGTTTGCCATCCTTTATTTGTCATCTGTATAGCCAAACAAATCTAAAACATTTCGTAAATGTTGTCGAAGACGAACGTTTACATTTTCCCAGTATGTACAAATAGACAGATGAAGTCTTTCTCCCCAGGCTATCTTAGCTCCCTTTAGGCTCACAGTCAATTTTAGCCTAATTAATGCTCTGTTGTCCAGAGCTTTGGCTCTAAGGCTGGTTTTCATGGCTTTCCGGCCAAAAAACAGGGATGTGTCCAGGGCATGAATCCAAGTAACTACTCCTCCAAACAAGTACTGATGAGTTTGTCAGGGAGCTGTAATTCCACCTATTCTGTGGAGGGATAGAATTAAAAGTGGAGACAAGAGGTATATCATCGTCGTGTTCATTTGCGCCTGTATGAGAAATCAGGAGAACGAGGGCCCGCTGGAGGTTGCGGAAGCAAAAAATGCAAACAGCTTCGGTTATTTTCTGTACCTCTTGCCTGAAGATAAGTCCTCCCTATCTCCCACTGTGTTGCCTTAACAGGCTGATATTTGCTCTGCCTCTCTCTTCCCGGCCCACGAGACCTTGGCCGTCCAGATTCTACACTGTGATACAAATCAGACAAATGATTGCATGCAAATTAGAGGGGAACTGTAAGGTTAAAGACTATATTTAGCCTGGCCATTTTGCCTCGCATAACATGAGACTGAGAATTAATCTCTGCTGTCCGGCAGCATCCCTCCCACTCTGACATTGTTTTCTTTCTGTCTTTTTTGTTTTTGTTTTTTTGGTTGGGATTACTCTCCAATTGGCCAGTGACTGGGCTCGGTGTCCTGAGGTAATCATAAATGATGGCCCCTAAACCAAAGGGCTATTTATAATAAGGCCAGCAGACTCGCTGTAATACTCTTCCCCTTTATCTCCCTCGCTTAAACCACCTCTCGAAGGCTTTTTTGTATGGATTTTGTAATTGAAGCAGTTTAGTGCCGCACAAGGAGAGATGAGCCAATTTATGTGGTGGGCATGATGGGACGCTGATCAGTTCGTTTAATTTCTAATAGCGAGCGGGTTGCTTCCCTTGCATTATGCATGAACAAGTAACCACGAGAGAGTGTGAGCGGCCGTGCAGGGGGCGAAGACAAACACTATTTTTCATGGAGGGGGATTATTAATTTATGATGCAATGCAATCCAAATGTGTTACAAGGGTCTGCATTTTAAAGCAACTCAGTAGGAAAATAGATGGGAGCAGAACCTAGATCAATTGTTGAGGAAAGGCACCAGAGGATGGATTTATGAGCAGCACTGTGCTGAAGTCTTATTCTGTCAACTACATGTAATTTCACCAAGGATCGAGTTTGTCATCTCGGTCTCTGTCTTAAGAAGGCGATCAATCATCAGCCCAAAGGAAACCCTCCATTGTCAAACAGCTCAGCAGCTTTCAAAAGACATCTCTCCACCCCACCTTTTCCTCTGCTTCAGTGATGAAAAGATCCCTGGAGTTACAAAAAAAGATGTTTGAAGTTATCTCACTGAGAATGCATTATGGGTGATAGCGTATGAATTTTAGTGACTTTATCAGGCGTAAAGACTGAGTTTTATGAGTTATATGATTTTAAACTTTTCCGTTACCATGCAATTGAAATTGACAGGAATAAAATAACAGGGCTGGGAAGCTTTAAAGTACACAGGAAGTGCAAAAGGTTTCTGCTTTTTGAATTTTTTTCTGTTTCTTGGCTCTGGAAGTGAAAACACAAAGCTGAGGGAGTGGTTGAAAATGGCAGAAAGACACTTTGCTTCCCCTGCTATTTTCTTTCCCTACCTGTACAGTCGTGGATTTGTGAGTGGTTTTGGTTGGATGACTACCTATAATGGTGGTGTCCTTGCTGTGTTTTTGCAGGTAGCCAGTGGTGGGGATTCTTCTCAAGGCCAGGTGGACATTTTCTCCTTGAACAGACCCACACCTCGGCCTGTAAAATCCCTCCAGATGGGCGCTCGAGTGATGTGTCTGGAGTATGTGCCTGAGCCCACCCCTTCAGAGGACGCTGAAACCGTCCCTCACAACTCCACTGGAGTTGGAAATACTATTTGTGTAGGACTTGATGATGGCAGGTAAGGCCGTGTTTCATAAAAAAATATGTGTAGAATTTCTCAAATCAGGGCCCCAATGGTTCCTTAAAATGTCTTAGATTCAGTTGCATAACATTCTTAAATATCTTAAATGATAAATGAAAAGTCTTGGAGACTCAAAATGTGTTTGTTAATAATTTATGACAGTGGTTACCTCATGGTGTTTTTATTTCATACGGGCAAACTAAAAGCATTTCTAAAAGCAGAGCCGCATTGTTTACACGGGTTGACATTATATGGGGTTATAAGCGCCACCAATTGTCAGAGAGTGAAATTGCATTTTAATTCAGCCTGTGGATTGGAAAGAAAATAATATAATCATATTTGAATGAAATAATATAAATATAAAAGTAATTGTCTAATATATTAATTTATTATATTTATTTTGAAACACATTCCTTTTCTTTAAAAAATGGGTTAAAGGGTGAAATGTGAGGTCAGTTATTTTAAAAAAAAAATTATTTTTGTCAAAACCTGTATTATTTGAACTTTAAAGTCATTCAAATCATCGTTTTTACAGTAATTTTATGGTTTGTATGTTACCATAGACATTGCTCTATCCCAGCCATATGGTAGGCTATAAATTGTATTTGTACAGGTTTTAAAGAACATCTTGAGAAGTCTTAAAATACGATTTTAAAAACCCTGCAGATACCGTTAAATATCTAAAGGCATCATTTCACAGCCAAGTTAAGATTGTTCCAAGGAAACTAAACCCACCTAAGCTTGTAAAATCAAAGATATTGATGCTGCTTTGCTTCTATGTAAATGAAATGCAACATCAATGCTGCCTTATTTTCCTGTCAGCTCAGTCTGCAGTGTGTGAGAGCCAAGCGCTAGCCAAGACTAATAGCCTTTTAGCTGTTTGTTTTAAGCACATGTCTAACAATAGGGCAAGTGAGAGAGGTAAAATCCTTTCAATCAGATTTATGGTGTCATTACTGACATTGCGGTGTACATAGATAAGAAACAGGTGACAACAATGTCCGGCAGGCTAAAAAAGAGTTTAGCATGAGCTTTAGTGATTGAAAAAAATTTTTTTTTCTCACTAAGTTCAATCTTTTATGAAGGCTGAGAAGAACAATAGGTACTCTAAGAGATTCTTTAAGCAAATGAATGGGGCTGATTAGCTATTCAGTAGAGAAATTCCCTGTTCCTTTTAAACTATCATTACATAATATCAAGGCAAATGCACAGTGGAAATAAGGCATTAGGTTTCTTTTCTTTCTTTTAATATTATATTTCTTTTCACATAGATGTCCTTGTATATTCTTCATTGTTTTTCTCCCAAAGCATCCTGTTCTATGGCAGTATGGACACGGCCGCCCAGTCTCTTCTAACTCTCTCTAACCCAGAGGGCTGTCCAGTTCTGTGTCTCAAACATTCCGGTAACTTCCTGTTCGCTGGCCTGCGGGATGGAACGCTGATGGTTTACGGGAGACATCACAGCGGTACGAATTACATAATGCTTGATGTCTCATTATATACTGTTATGAAGTTTGCTTTCAAATCCTACTATGTTGCCATCAAGTGCACTTGAAAAGGTCTTACTTGCGAGTTACTTCCAAGTTATCATGAATTCCAGTTGGAAATGAAATACTGAAGTAGCCAAACCAAACAATCGAAAAATTATTATTATTATTATTTTTTTTTTTTTACTCTTGGCTCACTTTTAATACATTGGAATGGCCAGGCCCATTCCAATGTCCTAATTTGGATATCAGAGAGTTTCCCCACTGATAATTATATGCCTATGTGAACAAAACTCATAAGTTGCAATATATTGTGATTAATTTAAGGGCTTATCACTTGCGTAAGGATTTATATAGTTGTTTCTCTTTTGCTTTAATGTATTATGCTAAACAAAGCTCATTTACTCTGCATACACTGCCACAGTGTGTTTAGGTTTTTGGATTTAAACGTCTATTATTTCTATCCTATTAGTCCTGTTTTTCTCTTTATCACATTAGCACATAAATGGACAGTTGCATTCAGTATGTTTTCTCTGTTCTTTTTCTCACTAATGGGATTAAACACTAAATGGGTGGGATAATTAAGAGTGGTAATTATTAGTATGTCCCCAAATGAAAGGGACTCAATAGAGTGAAAGGGTAATCAAATCAAATTAATAGTACAAATGAATCTGATTGTCCCCGTGTTCAATTTGCTCTTTCATCAACCTTCTATTCAAACATTCAAGGATGTTTTTTTTTTTTTTTTTTTTCCCGGTTCCTTCTCTGTTGAAGCTGAATGGCTCAGCGAGTATGTGAAAGATATTAGTTCTGTCACGTATTCTGAATGCATTCAGAGATGAGACAGGGGTGATAAGATTGTTCTGGGTATGTATTAGTTAGATAGAAAGCCAATGGATTTGGGATTACCTTGAAAGCAATTTATGATTTCAAAAGTCTGTCCGCGTCTGTGCCTTATTCATTTGCAGTAAGTAAGTGTGGGCTAATGACAACATGAGACGGGCGGGCATGCAAAACTCTCGCGTTCGGAGACATGATAGATAGCGAGGGACTGCGCTGTGTGTCTACGTGTTTGTTGGGGGTGGTGCAAGGCAGACAACCCTGGCACAATGGGTTTATCACATTGCACTACTTACCTGGCTGTCAAGAAGGAATTACCTCCACTGAAGTGGAAAGTAAGATTAATTATGCTGATGTGCAGTATGGCGATTTGAATATTGCTATTCATATACTGGAACGAAATAAATTACAAACGAATCCATATTCCCAGGGAAGTACAGGCAGGATGTATATATAACTATATAACTAAAATATTATAATGTTATTTTATATATTAGCAAAAAAATATCCTTCATATTACTCTGAGGAGCAATTGCCCTCAAAACATTGTAATAAACACTGGAGTCTCGCATGAGGTTAATCAGAAAGCTTTTTGAAACGTATGAGCAAGCCAAAATTGCTCGGGGGGGAGATTTCTTGTTTTCCCCCCCTTTTTTTCCCAGACACATTAAGAGGGTAGGATCATTTTGTTGTGTTTAATCAACAGTGCGCAAAATTTATAAGGATATGATGAGGTGTCTGACTTTCCGAAGAAAATACGTAAATATATTAAACCCAGAAGCAATAAGGGCCCATCTGAATGAAACAATGCATCTCTCCCCCTTCCAGTTTATTACTTTTGGACCAATAAAGACTGCATCTGCAGATGCTTTGAGTGTCCAGATAAGTCCTCTCCACCCCGAAGGTCCTTGTCTCTGAAAGAAGCAAATCTAAGGCGGCCTTTATTTGAGAATTAAGGGGTACAGAGTGGCTGAGGGGATGTTTTCAAAGCAAATGCACGAAAAAAGTAGGAAGACTGACATTTTGAATATGCCATGCAATTAACCTGAGGAAGTCGGAAGTCATTGTAAAGCTATTCTGGTTTCAAAGGCAGAAATAAACAACTCGAAATGTTAATTAAATGGCTCGCTGCGCTTCCCTCTCCAATTTTGCTTCATTAACACACTGTGATGGGGGGCGAAAACGACGAAGAAAAAAAAAGCTTATGTAATGCATCCCATAATGGTGTCCATGGTGGCTACGGCGCAAACCCTGTGATTAAAACTCAAGGAAAAAGTCTGGCGTGTTCTGAGCACACTGGAGAGAAACGTATAAATTGGATTACACAACATGCCGCAGTTATTAACATGGCACTGTTAGCGCATTAGCATAGAAAGCGCTAGTTTTTTTGAGGGAGACATGTAGTCCACAAACACACTTTGCAGTGCTTACTCTAGCTGTATGTTTTTGAGGCATAGCCACAAATTATACTGTTCCACAACCAGTTATACATAATTGTCTTGAAAACACAAGGATTTACTCTTGAGTATTAATGAAACCAATTTACTTTAAGTGACTTGCTCGGGGCTAAAGTGGAATTAGCATGCAGCACATTTTTGTAGCTCTGCTATTTGAAGCTTTTTTTTTTTTTAAGGGACACAACATGCGAATGTACTTGCATTCACTATCTTTGGCCATATTTGAAATGTTCCACCAGATAGGATTAGCGATTTGCCCTCAAGCAAGGTATTTCACTGGCCTCATTCATTGTATGCTACCCGTATACTTTTACCTCGTTTCTCTCTTTTCTGTTATAAAACTTACAGAATATACAAGAGGAAATTTTGTTGGGTATTTTCTGGGTATTAAATTTATAAAGCTGATGGCAATCATAACAAACATACACCACTTTTATTTATTATTTGAGAATGTTCTTTTTAATTGATTTAAAAAATGATTAGTTTGCATACTTTTTAACAAGGGCGTATTAGTGTAAGCTTGATATAAGTTATGCAAGGTAATGGAAAAACTGAGGTAAATATCACTTATGAGCTGAATGTTTTTATTGTGTGTGATTTCCAAATTAAGTTGTAATTTTGGTCAGATTATGCATAGGTGTTTATTAATAACTATTAGCAGTTCATTACAATCATTGTCATTTCCACCACAAAATGCAATAACATAATAAATAATTTGAGAAATTGTGGACATGACACTGTTCTAAAAAAGGAAAAAAAAAAAAAAACCAATTCTTTGGTAAAAACTACTATTATGTTTGTTTTGGAGCCTAAATGTGCCCTTATTTTAAGAAAAGTCCAATAATGTTTGATAGATGCAAATTGGAAAATTGAAATGGTGTTTTTTGTGTTTCTGTTTTGTAGGGGAACTGTGGAGCCAAGACTCCTGTAGAAAAGTAACAGTTGGTTCAGATCCCATCAGGACCCTACTTGCTTTGGAGGACTCGGTCTGGGCTAGCTGTGCTAACACAGTTACTGTAGTTGATGGCTCCAGTCTGTCCACTCAGGTACACTCATTATTCCAAAGCTCTACTCGTGCTGATATGTGTTCACACCAAACTTTAACAAACAGAAGAGCAAAAACTATGTTTCATTGGCAGTTTTCCAACACTGACTGACCAATTAGCTTGTGTGTGAAGATCAATAATCCTACCGAAGAGCTGTGATCTTCTTCTGTTGTTGCTCTCCTTTTTTCCCTCTTACCTTTAAACCACACAGGATGAGTAAATAGCTCTGACATGCTCGTAATCTTCCCCGGCTGTCGCAAATATGGAGGAGACGTGCCTTAGGGATCTACCCCATGGGCCTCCATAACCCTAAGCCTTCTTTTAGTTCTGCCTTCTTGGGTTTTATCTTTGGAGTCAAACATCTCTTTTATCCTCCGAGATTTCTCTGGATGCGCCCATCAGAGAGGAGATTTGAGCTAGTGGTAGGTGAGTGGGCCCCTGCTGCTTTTCGGTTGATCCTCCATGGTTCAGGCCAGTGCTCTGTTTTGTTCGACTGATTACATTGTATCCCTTTCCCTGCGGAGCCATGCTGGCCCAGCAGCTGGAGGGGGAAGCATCGCCTCTACTGTTGTAAATCTGCCCCTTTGGGACTCATGGCAAAGTGGCGTACAATGATGTGTGTCGGTGGGATAAGCAATAGAGCCTGTGTGAATTTGTCTCTCTCGTCACTGGTTTTTAGGAAATAATTCCACACTACAGCGTGTCACCTTGTTCTCGACCCAAAACTATTGAGGCTGCTGGATCGCTATTGATGTAGAATGCTACAAATATATCAACTTTGGTACTGCAGAAAAAAACAAACAAACATGGGAAGACACAATGTAGAGCAAACGCTTGATGCAACCACGTTGATATCCAATTTTGGCTCATAAACATGTAGAACAATAAAAGCTGAGGAGTGAAGTACCACACTTGGTAAAATGAGAGGTTGTTTAAACATGTTGCTCTCTTAAGCACTGTCACCTAGTATTTTAGTGGGCTAATGAGGGGTTAGGTGTGATGCTTGCATTGTAGGTGGAGGCTTGCTGTGTTTTGTCCGCTAGTGATCTGCTGTGATATAGTCATGTAGGGCGAAGCGGTGGGGGCAACCTCTGTATCTGTGTGAGACTCAATAGCTGTTTCCACCCACCTATTTTAATGCACATTTTGGGAAATCGCATGAAAAACACTGGATGGAAATGCCAATATGTGCAAAAATTTTAAAAATGCACATAAAAAGCATAGGTGTTCAATCAGCCTGATCTCTAGAAATGCGTCTCTATAGCACACATTGTGTTTATCGTGCAATTTCTACGCTAAAATTCGTTTTTAGACGCATCTAATGAGAACGAGTTGGTTCAATTTACCTTTGACTAAGCCACACCCTAGAATGTAGATTGACCAATCACAGCCCAGCCAAGAACGAGCTCCCACAGAGGTCCGACACTTTTTCACAGCGCTCCATTGACTTTCAACACAGGCGTCTCATATTTTTGGTCTCGGTAGGCTATTACCGTCAGGGCCGGCGCTCCGCACACGCACATCACGCACTGCGCGTAGGGCACCAAGTGCTTGGGGGGGCACCAAAAAATCTGGGTGGTGAAAAATCATCACAATAGGCTACTAGTATAAATAACAAATACAATATGTCTAAAGCATGTTAATATACAAAAGCAATACAAAAGTAATATAGGCCTAGACCAAATTAGTGGAGAAAAAGGTGAATCTCCTGTGCCACTCTCCCTCTGGTGCCCCCCTTCCTCACCTCGCAGTGGTCTGTTCCTCATCAGTGTCAAATTTGGCAGACACCTGATCGACATCAGACATGGCCTCGAAAAGGCACCAAGAGTCGGGGGCGGAAAAAAGAAGACACAGTGGGATGATACTCGTTTGCAGGTAAGACAATGTTTTAAATAAAAGTGTTAGTTTTGTAGGCACCCTTGCTTCGTGTATGCATGTCCAGAGGGGCGTCGCTAGTTGTGCAAATGATCCAGGGCTTTGCCTTGCATGTAGAATTTTTTATTTTAACGGGGGTCCGGGGGTTTCTCCCTGGGATTTTTAAGGGGAAAAATGCTTTTTTAAGCATTTGTGCTTAGGGCACCCAAATGGCTAGCGCCGGCCCTGATTACCGTAGAAGTTTTTTCCAAAATATGGTTAAACGTTGTGCCTCGGGCATTTGTAACACAGATACGCGTTTCCCAGAGAGGTTGAAGGGGGGGTGTCCGTTTTTTTCCCTTCCCAAAACCGAAGTAAAATCCTGACAGTGACAAGTGTCGTGTTTGGATTAAACTTTATGGACGTCCTCTGTCAGCTAAACCCCGCAAAGATCAACAAGCACATATATTTTACTTCTAACCTTATTGGTGAAGTTATAATAGTTAGACCGTTTTATAATGTTTTAGGTTATGATTTCGGTTCTCATACCGGTTGTTGATACGCTAGCACACGCTGCTAATAAATACAACGTTATACAGTACTCGTGTAGTCCGTTTGCTTTGTAATAACGATTATAGAAGTGAATAGAGACCTACCCAGCTTTGCATGAACAGTGTTGCTCCCTGATATTGTTAACTTAGTCCCAGCCTCCGTCTCGATTAGTAGGAAATGCGGTGGTTCATTTTTTGACTCTGACCAGTAACGTTACGCTTTTGCCTCTATTTGGATGCCTTGTTGTTTCTTGCATTTCACCTATGTCTTGAATATCCTTCGAACACATATTGCAGCCCCTTTTGCTCACTTCTATCGGACACTTTATTTGCTGCTTTATAAAAGTTTGATAACATTTCAGCAGGAAGAGCTGTTACAGCTTAAGCCATGCAGAGCGCAGATGAAGTTTGACGGATGTAGCAACAGTAACTAAGGGGGGCGGGGCTTAGCCAAAGGTGAATTGACGCGGATCGGTAACACTTTACTTGAAGGGGTGTAGACTGACATGACAACCATGACAGGACATGTCATGAATATGAGGGAGGTTTTACGCATGTCTATGACAACTGTCATTGAGCGTCATTCGTTCAATTATGACATTTTTAATGCAAATATGACATTTTTGCCTTTGTTATGACACCTTGACAGAAACTAATACATCATAACCTGTCAGTGTCTTTGTCATGACATCTTGACATTACCAAGACAACACAACCTGTCATAAATATGTCATAAACATGACGTAGCAGAATTATCAAACTTAAGAAACCACTTAGCTTTATTTTGATCAATTTAAAGCATCCTTGCTGAATAAAATGATTGACTAATAAAAATCTATACTGACCCCAATCTCTAAAAGTAGTTAGAATTATTGTTCTAGTGTCTTGCCTCTAAAGAAATAGTCCAAGCAATATAAAACAAAAACATAGAGAGAGAGCAAAGGCAAGCACTGCCGACAAGTCAATTAAAAATGAAAACACATCAAAGGCAGTTTCAGTCTTCTCCCTTGCTCTCAAACTAAAGAAGCTCCCTTTGGCAAGGGCACGCAAACAGGTGCTAATCCCTGTCCGCTTGTGTGCAGAGGAGAGAATGGTATCTCGCACCCACCTCACCCCCTTCAACTAATCTGCCTCAACCCCAGACTGGAGAACTAGCTGTTTGTAAGAGCTCTCAGGGCTCCTCGGTAGCACCACAGACCTCAGGGGGCTGCGTGCAAACCCTCGATAAGGAGCGCAGCTCCCTCATGCCTCATTAGAGGATCAGGCATGAAATGGCTCCTCTTTCCCTGTGGACTTTTAAAAGGTGTTTGGGAGGGGGTGTATTGTTTTCGGAGACAGTGGCTCCGCTGTGAATCACTTTGAAATCAAAGAAACTGGATCCTGAGTCATTGAAACCTTCTTGATGTGTGGCCCTTGAACCCACTGGTCGGATAGTGAGTTTGATGGCGCAATAATTCGAAGCGTTGCAGGAAAAGATAAAAGGTGTTCGTTTGCATTGGAAGTTGCTTTTGTGTTTCGTAGAACTGATAGACTGTAGACTTAGACTGTTCTTTTATAGCAATTGCTGTCCATTTAGATTAAAATGGTAAGCAGAAATGCAGATTGCAAGCAAAATCAAAGTGAAGAAGGCCGCAAGACCAAAAGCTTGCTATTAAATTGATCTTGCACAGTGTTTGAGTGTGCGGCTGCTGTTGTTTTATAATTTAGTAAAATCAATGTAAAAATTATGCATAAAGCCACTAGTGAAAATGCAGTTTCTAATAAAATAAATTAAGATGTTCTTTTGGAAAGAGAACCATTGGATCCCCATAAAGGGCCCAGGTCTGGCCCTGGTTTTATCTGGTGTCCCTTGAATCAGCCACTGAATGAAAGACCATTGGGTGTTACATTTATATTATATTTAAAAAAAAAAAATAGTAATATACAATTACTATAAAATTTAATATACAAAAATAGCTCCTAAGCCATACCATAGCCTGAACTCAAATAGCATAAAGTGATTTTTACATAAAATGTTGCTATTTTAGGGTAAAAAAAAAAAAAAAAAAAAAAAAAACTGGCCTCAATCTTAAAGAGTAAATTGCAGGTTACATTTTAGTGAAAGCAAAACAGCAAGCAAAGAAGTCAAAACGGTAAAGCTAGAAGGCTGTTCTTATGTTACGTCATCTCACCTGAGTGTTTCTTGGCGAATATTGCAATATTAACATGAGCGTAAATATTCAAAACGGTAAGCACGCTCTGCTTTGTTTACGGTATGTGTATCTGCAGCCGGCAGCGACGGTTTTCCTTTTTGAATGACGAATATAGACTAATATATCTGAAATAGACAGTTGGCTCATCAGAGGCTGAACTGACATTTCACTATCTTTAACTAAGGATTTAGAGAGTTAGATTATAGTCTAAAATGAATATTTCAAATCTGTATTTCAGAGTAGTAGGAGGTGGTTATACCAGTGGCCCTTTGGGGCATCAGCAGCGAGCTGGGTAAAATGTTAATAAAGAACTCTTTTAAACATGTAGGTCCTCTGGTCAAATGATTTCTGGAGTTACTTCAGTCAAAAGTGTCTTTTCAAATTTAAAGATCACAGTTTATGGATATCTTATTCCTTTATAAAGCTGCAGAATCATCATACAGTAGTTGAGAATTGAGCCCTTCAGGCTCCCAGAGACCAATTTACAGAACTAAACACTTCGGGCAGCTCGAACTGCATTACTGAACAGATCTGCGTTGTCTGAACATGTCATAGTCTATTTGTAGTTTTGCTTTATATTATTTACACTTGGCTCCCATTCAGTTTGTTTTGAGATTGATATTATGTCCACTGTGTAGGGGAGTTTTGTCTGTAGCCGTTCATTCGACTGGGTGCAACAATTCAATTAATCCTTCTTTGGCAAAATGATCGCAGGACGAATAATAAACAGGTGGGGGCATATTATTGTGGTTTCAGGTTTTAACATTCTCAACAGATTCAGAGATAAAGTAACATTTCTCTTCAACCTTGTTCAACCTTGAGCTTTTTTACACAACTGGAGAGAAGGAAAATACAAAATACATCAGTGAAGAGAGCTAAATCAGTCGTTCAGAGGAAGAGAGTGTAACCAACCCATGTGTTTCTAATGTTGTTACCCTTTAGGTTGTTTTATATAATAAATGCTGAAATCAGTGATGCAATAGTTTGCACTGACAGTAAACAAAAGCATTATGTTTCCATCTTTCACTTGATTTTCTTTCTTCTATTTGGGAAACAAAATGAATGCAACATTTTGAAATGATTAATGCTAAAATGAACATTTCAAATATTTGAGGAATATTTCACATTTCATGATTTTGTCCATACAATGAATGTCATTTGGATCCAAAACAACACTTCACTGACTATTTTTCAGATTATCTTTTGTTCCACATAAAAAAGCAAGTCATACAGGTTTAAAAACTGTAATGGGTGAGCTTCGTGGAAGAAATCCCTTTAATAGTAAATTTTTTTCCGCTGAATTACATATTTAACTCAGATGATGCAGTTACAGAAGTGAACTGGTCTTGACCAGAAAGGAACTCCCACATTAACCTCTCAATGAAGTATCTTTTTCTCACCTGGAGATCTTTTGATGGAGGGTGGGTGACCACCAGCGTCTTGGGTTTTGCCTTTAATGGAGCTATGTGGTGTTTTGCAGGGATCAGTGCAGGAACACAACCAGGGAAAAGAGAAATGTGAAGATTTGAATGCCCTTATCCACCTCAGTGGCTGCGTTTGAGATCTATTTTCATTCGTTTTGCGTGTCTGGTAATACAGAACACCATAAATCAGCTCTGAACTATTTTTTGAACAGAAAGTTTGGACTTTCTGCAGGCACACTCTGTACTCAGGAGAATAAAACAGCCTTAAATTGCTCGTCATTTTTGGATCTTACAATATGTAGAAAATAGCCGCGTTTCCATTACAGATTTGGGCAAAACTTTTGCAATATTTTCTAAATGTTGATAAAAATCTATTGTGAAATGATGGATTTTCTATTAACCAATGTTATGCGACTAAAACGTTTTTTTTTTCCTCTCGTGATAAGTCTTTCCAAAATCATGGCGACAGATGTTGGTAGGTTTATGTATATCTCAGCCACCGCACTAGTCATTATTTTTAGTCATTATTCTTAATAATGGAGACTTAGGCTTGTTATCCAAGCAGTAATGGCAAGAAAATCCCTTCGGTCACATACTGTATGAGGTATTTCTAGTGTTTCTCCCTCCTATCTGCTTCAAGGTCTTGATGAATTGTGGCATTCCTTTGTTGTTTACTATCCAGTCTTCCCGTAATACGTCATCTTTAAAAAATGATCGACTTGTACGTACGCCAGGGTACCTGTAAATGGGAAAAAAATCTGTTTGCAGTTTTGTTAAATATTCCTTTTTCGAATTGCCTGAAACATTTTTTTGCGATATATGCGTTTTTTGCTAAATTTACGTGTTTCCATTGGGCGTATTTTCAATGTACAATTTCAATTAGCACATTTTGAAGGGTAATGGAAATGCAGCTATTGACCTGCACCATATCTGAGCATGATCTTATTAAATACAGGGGAAAATATGAACATGTCCTCCAACTCTAAACATTTCATATATGCTAAAATGTCTTCAAAAGCAAGATTTTCACTCTCTCATGCCACCTTGAGTGGCTGAATGCTCAGTGTTCTGATTTTCAAAGTGTTGAGTGTGAAGGAGTCCTTGCAGATGTACTGCATTGAGAATAAAAGGGGATACTAAAAATTAGATGCATTTGCAACAGCCCCTTTTGTCATTAGATTTCAATTTTCTGTTTGTGAGGTAATGGAGAAGTGAAAGCAAATGTGAGGAAAAAGGAGATGGAGTTTTTTAACTGCTTGTTTTTGTCATGCCTTATTGAGTTCTGTACCAAACTGTGTTCCAATCTTTTCTGCTTGTTGATTCTCATTGGTCGTGGGTTCCCCAGTCCACATTTGAACACATTAGTAAAGCTATGTGACTACAGTCTGAAATGAATTACCATTATCATGAGGGAAATATCAATGTCATTGTTCTACTTCCCAGTTAAGGACGTAGATCAAACATCTCAACTGCAACCTAGATTAGGACCTCTGAAGAAAGAAACTCATACAGGTTTAGAATAACAGAGTTTCAATTTGGGTTGAACCATGCCTTTAATATTGTTTTCTTGTTTCCTCTCAATAGTGTAGCGGAGACTATACAAGTTTGATGGGAGAAATGTGGCATGCTGTTCCACTTGACCTGTATCGATATGAAGTTGGTTAATTCCAATCTCTCTATTGTAGTCTCATTGTCCTTCGTTCTTTCGTAGAGATTTGAGGTCCATCAGGACCCGATGGTGAGCGTGTCCCACATGGTACGAGCCGGAGGGGGTGTATGGATGGCCTTTTCAGAAGGTTCCTCTATACGCTTGTTCCATACGGAAACCCTGGAACACTTGCAGGAGATCAACATTTCCACACCATCGTCATTTTACAACCCCAGTGAGTATCTCTCCTTTGACCCTGTGAATCTCCATTCCTTTGAATATAGACATTTTTTGTATGCCTTCACATGCTTGAACCGTGCTTGTTTCCATCTTTTCTTTGAACCGCTCTTCTAGTGATAAAAAGGGTAATAATGGAGAAGTTCTTTTTGGAATGGTTCCTGTAGGCTGGCTCTCCAGGGATTGACCGTGAATAAGTAGCTAACTTAAGACCCCGCAGAGCAGTAATGGAGCTGTGGGGTTACAGGCTGGAAAAGTCACAATGGCGCAGACAAAGCTTTCCATTTGAAATGTTGCCATGGCAACGCTCTTCTCATGACATCAGCAGCCGTGGCATGTTGGTAACGTGCCAGCGTTTTGCCATTGTGCCTTTTCTTTGTGCAGCTGGCCTTTAAATTCTTCTACATTCACTTTTTTTTTTTTTACCTCTGAATACTCACCTTTAGCTGTCTTAATCTCCCTTGGATCCACTTAAAGGGATAGTTCACTTTGAAATTAATTTTTGATATGTTTTAGCTTACCTCAAGGGCATCCAAGATGTAGTGTCTTTGTTTCCACAGTATTTTCAATTTTGACATTTTTCAGTCAAACCGTTGTCTATCAGTCATACACTGGAGGCTAAGGGGGTCCACCAAAAAGCATGCACAGAGAAGTCAAAATTAAACAAGATTTAATGACTCGTAAATGTAAGTACACATTGATGGCCTAAGACACGAAACGAGCGGTTTGTGTGAGAAAACGAACAGTATTTATATCGTTTTACCTCGTATAATCACAGTGACGTCCAAGTGATCTGAATCAGTTGTGCAATATCCATCTGAACCGAACTGAATCAATTCAATGATACACCGGAAATGATCGCTTGCGTGTGACGTCACTCAATATTTACACAAAGATTTCGGAAGTTTTACCTTTTACTAAACATATTTAGATATACCGAAATTGTCTTCCATTGCGGTTTCCCGTGTATCTAAATATGTTTAGTGAAAGGTAAAACTTCCAAAAAAAACTTCCGAAAAAAGAGTGACGTAGCGATCACTTCCGGCGCATGCGCAGACCGAAGCGTCCGTGCCGTCAGATCATTTTGTCATGGCTATGATTACAAGAGGTAAAAACGATATAAATACTGTTCGTTTTCTCACACAAACCGCTCGTTTCGTGTCTTAGGCCATCAGTGTGTACTTACATTTACGAGTCATTAAATCATGTTTAATTTTGACTTCTCTGTGCATGCTTTTTGGTGGACCCCCTTGGCCTCCAGTGTATGACTGATAGACAACAACGGTTTGACTGAAAAAATGTCAAAATTGAAAATACTGTGGAAACAAAGACACCTACATCTTGGATGCCCTTGAGGTAAGCTAAAACATATCAAAAATTCATTTCAAAGTGAATTATCCCTTTAAATCTTAAAATTACCAAATTCTTTTTACTTCATCCCTCCTTCACTGTTAGATGAGATGTATACAAGGCAAAGCCTTCTGTGAAGATTCATAAGCAAGGGCACCAAAAAGTGTAGTTTATAAATATTGTTTACATATACAAACTGTCGCTTCAATTCAATTCCGCGCCACACATCAGGCTATATAAAGAGAAAATCTGCAGCATCGCTCCAGTAGCTCGCAGAATCTTCCGGAGCAGAATAACTCCTTTCAGACGGTCTAATAATGTTTGATTTCACTTGAATGCGATCGTCCGCGTTTAGCCACGATTCTCCGGTTGTCACAGACAAGTGGAATACAAAGAAGGAGAACAAATAAAACCAAAGTGGTGTTGCAGACTTGACGAACTGGCCAGAGAATATGGTTTTGTTTTTTTCACAAAAAGATATATCTCTGGTTTTTTCGTCAAAGACTGAGAACATCAAACCTTCAGATCAAAGTTACTGCTGTATTTCAGAAGACACGTGAAGGAGAAATGGCGAGTATTGTGGCGAAGATGTCTGCGAAGGTCCTGCAACCCCGAGGCTGTTGTCAAACCTGCACAGCTAGCTGTGTTTAAATATGTAGTTCATGTTAGGTGAGGTAGGCCTAATGCTATGATTATGTGTTATATCGGGGGGTTTACAGTCCACGGAGCACAAAAGTGAAAATAAGCTTTGGCAGAAGCTTTCTTCCCCTTTTTTACCCTGGGCCCACAGAACATCCCATCGTTTTCCCTGAATATGCTAATCCGCAAGCATCACACATAGGAGGACTGATAGAGTTATTACAGATCAATGGTCTGCTAATCCCACAGGTTTGCTCGTAAGTGATGGCTGATGAATTAATTATTGTCTTAAAATCACCGATTATTCTGCAGTTTCTCCTCAGCTAGAAAATGGATAAGCAAGCCAGACATCTCTTTAACACACTGAGGCTCAATCCATCCTCTTTAATAATAGCTGGAAAAGTCAGATCCTTGGGGAAAATTGATATTATACAGAAGAGAATCTTTAACAAAAATGTAATAAATAAAATAAAATAATACATTTACAACTTAAACTAATTTTATATTAAAATTAATACTGAAGTTAGTTATTTTGTAAATTATTTTGATAATAAATCATTTATATATTTAACATGCATCTTTTATTACCTCATATTAATTGAAAGTCAACATGAAATAATGAAATCAAATGCATTGAAAAGAAATTGAAAAATGAGATTGACAGTTATCAAAAACTCACACTTTCCCTTAAATATATTCAGATGACAACAAGGTTCAACTTGCTAACATTAGTTAATGCATTCTATGTCATGAACTAACAATAATTTACATTCAATTAATTCATTTTTACAGCATTTATCAATCTAGGTTAATTTATTAGTGGTGCTTGCTGAAAGCAAGGCAACACTATTACTATTGTGTTTTTTGAGTCGGCCCAAAAGTTTGGCACGCTACTCCTCCCGCAGTTTTTGTCACACACCCATGAATGAGGTCTCAAAACGTGCGGAATATTCGGGAATGGTGTGCTATGACTTTTCTAAGCGATCGGGGGTACGATGTTCGCCCGAAGGGCGAACAAATTTCCCAAAAATCCCATAGACTTAACATTGCGACAAACTTTGACGACTCATAGCTCCGAGCGAGGATTTCACAGAAGCCTGCGATTTACCACATTTGAAGAGGCTGACAGGCTCTGTAAGAACATACCTCACAATGGGGTAAAAGTTGCACCCCTGGGGGGCAGGAGCTGCCCAAATTTTCCCCCATTGACCCCAATGTTATTTAAAATTTCTAGTATAACATTATACTATTCCAGGAAAAAGTTTGGCGCACTCCTACGTCCACAGTTTTTGTCACAGACCCATGAATGAGGCATCAAATCGTGCGGCCTATTGAAGAGAAGTGTCCTATCACTTTTATCAGAGATCGGGGGTACGGTGTTCGACCCAGGGGCGAACAAATTTCCAAAAAATCCCATAGACTTAACATTGAGACAAACTTTGACGACTCATAGCTCCGAACAACGATTTCGGAAAAACGTGTGATTTGCCACATTTGAAGAGGCTGGCAGCCTCTGTAAGATTATACCTCACAATGGGGTAAAAGTTGCACCCCTGGGGGGCAGGAGCTACCCAAAATTTTCCCCATTGACTTACTATGGTGAAAGATGTCCCATCAAATGCATGTGTTTTTCCTACTATGGTAAATCGCATAGGGATTTTGTATTGAACATAGCTCTGGATCATAGTGTCATAGAGACAAGGGGGCGGGCTCATTTTACTCAGACGACCAATCAGTCTCTCAGGATCATTGTGAAGCTATCAAGCCACGCCCTAGCAACCATATGGAGCACCTTAGCAACAACTCCCATAGACTTCCATTGAAAGAGATCAAAGGGATATCTCCGGATAGAAGTGTCATAGAAACACAAGGGTGGTCTCGTTTGACTCGGGGTAGCAAACAGCCAATCATGAATCACCTCAACAATTTCTGGCCACACCCTAGCAACCATTATCGAGCACCTTAGCAACCAAATTTTAAAGAGGGATATCTTCCATTCTGAATGTCATACAGGCTTGGGAGTTGTATTATATCACTTATACTGACAAGCAGCCTTTGGAGATTCATGATTGGCAGCTGCCAAGCCACTCCCTAGCAACCAAAAAGAGTACCCTAGCAACCATTTTGCAAGGCCTACATCTCTGCATCAGAACATCGTATAGAGATGGGGGTTGGTTTATACATTCACATTGACTTTGGAGCTTCATGATTGGAAGCTGCCAAGCCACTCCCTAGCAACCAAACAGAGTACCCTAGCAACCATTTTGTAACAGCTATATCTCAGCATCAGAACATTGTATCACGATGGGGGTTGGGTCTTTTGACTCATGCTAGCACATAGAACTTTCAAAATGCTAAACATGCTAGCTGTGAATAGCTACATGCTAATATTGATTAGCTAAGTGCTAAATCATGCCATTACATGAACAATATCAAAACTCTATAATAACCATATGTGAACACTACCAACCACCTAGTAATACCATAGCAACTACCCAGAATACCCTAGCAACAACCTAACAACACCATAGCAACCACCCAGAACACCCTAGCAACCGCATAGCAACACCCTAGCAACCACCTAGAAACTATCCAGAACACCTAAGCAACACCCTAGCAACCACCTAGCAACACCCTAGCAACCACCCCAAACACCATAGCAACCACCTAGCAACACCTTAGCAACACCCAGAACACCCTAGCAACCACCTAGCAACACCATAGCAACCACCGAGCAACACCCTAGCAACCGCCTAGCAACCATCCCGAACACCTTAGCAACACCCTAGCAACCACCTAGCAACACCCTAGCAACCACCCAGAACACCCTAGCAACCACCTTGCAATACCCTAGCAACCACCTAGCAACACCCTAGCAACCACCCAGAACACCCTAGCAACCGCCTAGCAGCACCCTAGCAACCACCTAGCAACACCTTAGCAACCACCGAGCAACACCCTAGCAACTGCCTAGCAACCTTCCAGAACACCTTAGAAACACCCTAGCAACCACCTAGCAACCATCCAGAACACCCTAACAACCGCCTACTAACAACCTAGCAACACCCTAGCAACCACCTAGCAACACCTTAGCAACTACCCAGAACACATTGGCAACCACCCATAATACCCTAGCAACTGCATAGCAACCACCCAGAATACCCTGACAACCAACTAGCAACCACCCAGAACACCCTAGCAACCGGGTGGTGAGTTTTGCCACTGCAAGCACCACTTCACATTTTCGTCTGGAAATGTACGTTCTAGTTTATCAATATACTATTGTTAATTCATCTTAATACAATAATATTACTTTACACAAGTTGTAAAATTGAACATATTTGAATATATATATATATATATAGAAATGTACATTAATCAAGATGAATCAAATAAATGCTGAGAATGTATTCTTGATTGTTAATCAACTTATTAACTTAAAATATTGATCATTATGATGCAGAAAAAGTTATAGGACGCATAATGCATCAACTACAAGGACATCTAATAAAATATGCAATATGCATTTTTTTTCCCACACCTCAGCATCTTATGTTTTCAGCATTCATGAATTCAAATGCATTACTGTAGAACTGCAGATTTATTTGACAATATATTATCAAGTTGATCCCTCTTGCACAGAAACAGAATGTATAATAGGCGAATGTTCTGCAGAACTGGACAGCTGACATTTCTAAGAATGAGCTCTTCCTAATGCAATCCATTCGCTAATGTTTTTTCATGACCTTCAGTGATTTCCTGGTGACTAACTACCGTACTGAAAATGCTTCATTTACACATTAGCCAAAGAGTTCTATGGCAAACTACAGACAGCGTGCTGTGAAAATTAATCAATTAGCCACTTGCTGTTCATTCATGCAAAGCGAGCCACTGTCTACACTTGCTGAAGACTCTGCTGTGCTATTCTTCTTTGATTTAATTATACTGTGGTTGCTTTTGGGTTTCTGAAGTCCCAAGGTCAGGGATTTTTGGTATTGTTAATAATGTCGGTAAAATGTTTCATGTTGCTTTTTGTCTAAACAACAGCAATCTAAATGTTGTCACACCTGCACACTGCTATAATTGGCCAGTTCAATAAACCCGACAAGAGAGCAAAACATTTTTTTTTTCTGGGTCTCCACAAAAACAATGATTCTTCCTTTAAAGCAGAAAAGTGTTTTTTTTTTTGTTGTTGTTGTTTTTATTTGTATTGTGATTTTCACAATGCATATAATTTCAAAACAGCTTTACAGAAAAAATGCATGTTTCTACATTGCAAGTTAAAGTAATATGTTGTCAGAGATTACTGTTAAAGTGTATGTCAAAAATGTACAGTTCTAAGATAATACAAATCATGCAGTTAGCTAACATCATGTATTCATTTAGGCAGAAACAAATGTCTCATTAAAGGTGTGGTGTGTGATTTTTAGCGATATCTAGCGGCCCGGTTGTGAGCTTGCACTTTCGAAGAAGATACGGTGGCTGAAACGGGACAAAAATATTATCGATATTATTATCAAACATATTAACGATATTATCATAATCTGAGACAGCAGAGAATAGCCAGAGTAAGCCAAAAGTGTGTAACATTGTATTCTATATATTTATATATAACTATATATTTTTTTTCTAACAGGGTAGTAAAAGTTTAGCTTGTTAAATATGAGCTGTTACAGTGGCTGAGCTGGTTAAAGCGTATAAGCCTTGTTTAAACTCGACGTGTCCGCATCGACATGATAGTAACTGCGAGCGCCTCCGCATCCCTTAGACACCATTTACTACACACAATAGGCTTTTTTTTCTCTGATTTTGAAAACTCTTTGCGATCGACTTAAAATGCTTCCAAGATCGACTTGGTTGGTGATTCCTGTAACATACTGTTTCACGGTCAACGATAGATAATCATGTGCATTTGATCTGATATAACTAGATTACAAGATTATGAGGTGCATTATATGAATGCTTGGCTAAAGAAATGTCTTTATCAGGAAGGCTACCAGAGTGTAGGAGCCAAATGCGAAAATGCTTAAAAAAATCTTTAGCATAGTTTGTTCTTTTTTCAAAGTTCTCTAAAAATAGTATCATTCTACATAGATATAAATAAGTCATGATGGTGATATTTTTTTTTTTGTCATCTTCTTTTTTTTTCTTTTTCCTCTGAAGGTCAAAGAAGCATGAGAGTTACCAGCCTGCTGATTTGCCAGGGGCTGCTATGGGTGGGAACTGCCCAGGGCATTATCATCACCTTGCCTGTGCCCAAGCTGGAGGGCATCCCCAAAATAACAGGTACACAGATGGGGGCTCTTCATAAAACATAACTTGCCTTTAGTTATTTTGGAAAGTCTCCTTTGCGGTGACAGGACAATTGCATAATGATTGAAATAGTTTACCCTTTGTTAAAAGAATAGTTAAACCCAAAATTATTTACTCAACACCATGTCGTTCCAAACCTGTGTGGATTTCCTGTGGAATACAAAAATATAATTTTGTCTTCACAAAGTCTTTTCCGTATGTCAGTTCATTGCGAAGCTTTTAGGAGCGAATATTTATATGCAATCTGACATGACACACACATAAGTGTTAGGCAGGAAGATTGCCATGAATAAATAAGATTTGGGTCGATAAGATTTTATGTAATGTTTTTGGAAGAAGTCTCTTGTGCTCATCGAAGCTGCATTTATTTGATCAAAAATACAGCAAAAACAGTGTGGTGAAATATTATTTCTGTTTAAAATACCCGTTTTCTATTTTATTACAAAATGTACATTTTTCGTGTGATAATTTCCGTATCATTACTCTAGGTTCAGTGTCACCTGATCCTTTAGAAATCATTCTAATTTGCTGCTCAAGAAACATTTATTTTTATTGTCAAATTTGTGCTGTTTAATAGTTGTACTGCTTATTTTTTTATTTATTTTTTGATTTTATGATTTATTGATGGATAGAAAGTTCAAAAGAACAGTATTTATTTGAAATGTTTTGTTTTATTTTATTTATTTTTTTATCAATTTAATATAGCTGAATATTTTTGTGTGTGTGTAATTTAAAAGTCAACGGACTACCTTTATGATTTTTTTTTTTTTTTATTATTATTTTTGGAGCAAGACATCTTGGGCATCACCACAATGAATTTTCTTTTTATGAAAAAAAAAAAAAAAATCTTCAAAATTGTATCTTTTGTATTCCGCAGAAGAAGAAAAAAAGCTATCTAGGTGATGGGAACAAGCAAAGAGTAGTATAATGACCAATTTTCTGAACTATTCCTTTGTCAAAGTCCTTTCTGTATGTGCAATATGCATTTAAATGTGTAAATAATAGAAATCAAATTTTAAGGTTTTTCTTGCCCTCTGGCATTGCTGCTTTTTTACTGATTAAAGCCGTGTGAGCTCTGTGTGTTTTACTGTGACACAGGTAAGGGGATGATATCTCTCAATGCACACTGTGGGCCTGTGGATTTCTTAGTTGCCCTTTCCAGCACTTTATCTCCTGATCTTCTGAAGCGGGATTCTATGGTGGAAGGGCATGATTCGGCCTGTGGGGCGGAGGATCGGAGTGACTCGTCGTCTCAGGAATCTCTCCAGCAGCCCAATGTTTCCGGCCATGTGGAGGGCAAAGGGAAGGGGCGGGGCTTGTTGCTACAGTACCGCCTCCGCTCAACCTCAGGGTTGCCTGGGCGACCGTTAACCGCACGAGGGGACGAAGCCTCAGACTCGTCTTTAGAATCTCTGGAACACAGCATGGAAGATGGCTCTATTTACGAACTCAGCGACGATCCAGACATGTGGGTCAGGGGTCAGCCCTGCAAGAGGGAAGGGGTGAGGAGGGACAGGGTAACCTCGGTGGCGGTCATCTCAGGCGGGAAGGGCTTCCGTCGACTGAAAGAGGGTTCGATGGCGGCCACCACAGAAAGCATGCTTATGATCTGGCAGCTTCCTCTCGCTGTTTGAGCTGAAATTATGTTTAAGGAATAGTGAAATTTAAATGTTGTCATCATTTACTCGCCCTCATGTCATTCTACACCTGCATGTTTTATTGTACTGAGATGTACTGGAGACTCCTTTAAATGCAATTACTACAAATGGAAACAGAACTGGAAGACGTTGTCCGACACCACTTCACAGACGCTGAGTGAAAGGAGAATTTTAGAATTGTAGGACTCTTATTTATATCACACTTTATTCAACAGGAAAAACAGCTCTTTCTAACAGTCCCTTCAGTTTAGCGTTACAATCCGATCAAGCGTTTACATGTCCTCTCGATCGGATTTGGAAAGGAATAAACTACCCCTTTTAATCGGATCGAAATTTCATTCGGATCGAGCTCAGTCGGATCGGTTAAGGTGTAGGCTTTTCAGTCCGTTTGAGCGTCAATCTGATTACTAATGAATTATTTGGTTGCATGTAAACGTAGCCAGTGAGTTGACCATTAAAACTGAATCTTGAACAAGTCATCCAAACCGATTTTGTGAACTGGCTCACCTGATTCATTTAAAGAATTCTGACTCAAAATAAGAGTGGTTTACAAATCAGACATCACTAGGGATGGATGCCAAGATTTCTGGTGAAGAATGGTGTAAGTTTTGATCTGTTTCTTCACACAAAGCTCCATTTTTGTGTGCTTTATTGGCATTTTGGAGCCTTCCAGTTTAACACAGTCTCATCCCAAGACGTTATATAACTGACGTCCTGGGACGTCTTTTGACCATACGTCAACATCCGCCGTTTAACGTCAGTTACATGACGATCCCTGGACGTCATACAACTGACGCTTTACCTTTAACGTCAGTTAGGTGACGGGGTAGGTTTAGGTCTGGGGTAGCGTTAGGATCCGATAACGTCATCTAACCAACGTTAAAGGGTACCCTAAAACGGCGGATGTTGACGTATGGTCAAAAGACGTTATATGACGTCTTGGGATGAGATCATTCATTTTTATAAAACTGAAAAATGGTAACCAGGATAGTCGGAGTGAACAAAGTAATTTGAGTTTGGAAAGACATGAGGATGAGTAAATGAAATATTTTTTTTTTCACTGTGTTTGGTTTAAAATGCGAGGCTTGCAACTCTACTGTTCACTATTCCAGAGAAAGAATCTCTCCTATATTAATTGGTCTTGTGATTTTGTGAAATCTAGGTCCTCTGATGAAAAATATTGCATGACTCAAAGGCGCGTGATAAATTGTTAGTTAATTTCGTCTCTGTCAATACATTGGACGTGTTTTACTCACTGGTAGATAATGCTGATCCATGTATTAAATTTCATTCCACCATAATCATGGCATAAACTATTCAGACAGAACATTTCCTTGAGGGCCTCAGTCTGGTCGACCTTTACTGAATCATGTTCTTTGGAGTTAACCACACCACAGAGCTGCTTGGGTATTTTATTCCCCCGCATCTGAAGAAGTCGTATCAGTGGAAAGAAAGAAGAAAAGTGAAAGGGTTTTCTATGCTTTTGCGGGTCATTCAGAGAATACTTTCACCCTTTGACTATTGATAATGTGAACGCATGATTCTCAGTTGAAAGTCAAGCCTAAGCAGGTCAGTGTTAAAAGATTGTGAAATGGGTTTCAAAACAGTTGACTGCCTACATTTATTTTTTTTCTTCTTCTTATAGACAAAACCTGAAAACATTTTCACCATATGGCAGTCATTACGAAACTTCTGCTTAAATCACCATTGCTTAACAAGCAAGTTCATTAGCAGCTGGTGGTAGAAAGATACAAGTACCACTAATTGCAGGAAAGTTGTGGATCTTGTGACGCTTTTGATGTTTATTTGATCTTGTTGAAGGGCATTCAATGCTGATATTTTATGTAATATTGCAGTTCCATCTGCAAGCTACAGTTGGTTCTCGTCATTCTTTGTTCTTGTTTAATCCACATTTAAGACAAGCAATAGTGTTCCATTGGGAATTGTGAAGATGCACAACATACTATGATAAAGGGAATTGACTGATGTTGTTTTTGGTACAAATGAACAAGCAGATAAATAATAAATGTATTAATGAATAAAACTCTTAAAACGCTTGTACGTCAAACACCAGCTTGGCCAGAATTAGAGCCCAACTGAACCAGCATAGACCACCTTTTTTTAAGCTGTTTTGACAGCAAACTCCACTAGTTTTCTTCAGAAATAGCTACTGAATAATATAGTTAAGTGATTTATATTTCAACCCCGCACTACTTTGTCATCATGCATTTTTCATACCATGCAACATTATAAATGTACGAAATGTACAATCCCCTAAAGGATTATTAGGAACACCATACTAATACTGTGTTTGACCCCCTTTCGCCTGTACCGCTACAACAGTCATTCATTGTTTGGATATTAAAAGTGTAAGGTGAAGTAAGTTAAATTTAACATGAATAAAACAAATTGTCCATCCAAATGAAGTAACCACTTGAAGTTGTGTCCCAAATGCACTGAATATTTAGGATTTTCTAATACTAAAAAAATGTAGACTTATATGTTTGTCAATTCACTGTTACTGAAATTAAAATGTGTTAAAATTGACCTCTGCGTTTGATTCTTGTAAACAGCCGAAGTGTTATCCGTGGACATATTAGCTTGAAGTAAATGTTTGAAACCCTGAATATTCTAATATTCTGAATAAATGTAGGCTATGTGTGACGGGGTGGTGACAAACGCAACCATTGCTGCTGCCAGAACATCTTAGATTTGAAAACAGAGTTCAGCACCCCTGCGCCCAGCAGAGTTACAGAAGTTTTTAATGGGGTTTCTTCTGAATTTGAATTATTCATAATGTCCTAATTTGCAAACTGCCTTACTAAGAGTATTATCTTATGCGTGGTATTCTGAACATAGGCAAAGACTGTGCTACTGTGTGTCTGTTTCTGGTCATACTGTAATTCTACTGTCAGACTCAGAGGAAATGAGCAGGTTCTGAAGTTGAAGCACCAGCTCCTTTTTGTTCGAAAAAATGGGTACTTGTGTAACCCAATGACTCTTGGGTCTATTCAGATGGTACATGAGAAGTGTAAACACAGCTGTGAGAGTGAAATGGAGGTTCTGGGTTGTGAGGACCGACCAAATCTCCTGCTGAATCTCTTCATCCCACTCCTGCTGGCTTCAGAACGCTGGCCTTAGGCAAATACAAGACTCAGAGCCCACTTAACCCACATAAGTGCAGTTTACAGCATTAAGGGTGTTTAAAGTTGTGATTTGTGACCAAATTGATTGTAGATCGCAGTTCTGTGGAACAGCTGCACTTACATGCTGATTTCCCAGATAAGTTTTATTTCGTTAAAAAAAAAAAAAATCCCCCTGGCAGGTTATTTGCTGAGTAAAACATCAAACAAGTCGAACTTCTGACGCTGCATAGGCTATTAGTTTTAAATTCACTAGTGTACTAAAATCACTTGTTAGACAACTTTGAGACAATTGAGTCACTATAGATTAATTTATTTTTTAAATAAATTCATTAATAAGTTCTATCTCAGAACATAGCCTTGGCATTGATCTTGTCAGTTTTAAAGGAGAACTCCGGCGCAAAATGAACCTTTGGTCTAATAACACAATGGTACCTAGTCAACCATTCTCTGAGACTTGTTTTCATGATAATTGAATTGTAAAGAGTTTTATCTCTAAAAACTGTTTAGCGTATAACACTAGTAATGGGGGCATTTAATAAATAAAAAGAAATCGCTAGTTTATACCACTAACAATCAAAATAGCCCCACACTAACACAGTAACATAATGAGGGTACCTACATGCTAAATGAAGCATTGAGAAGTTTGTAAGTGTACAGACCGTTTAATAAGAAGATATTTTATAAAAACAGTACGCTTTGTGTACAGATGGCGCCATCTTTGGAAAACAGTCAAACCACTAACCGTCTAAATTAGACGCCTAGTGTCTCTATCTATGAATCTATGAAGTGAACCCAGATGGATGCATAGCTGATTTGTCTACCCTGGTGATGCCACATGTACATATATATGGTAGCCTAATTTAAAAAAAAGGAAAGAAATGTATTGCTTTGAAAAATATCCACAGTAGGCTACTGTGCTTGTGAATGATAGACTTATCTACCTAAAACCTTTTGCTATGTTTGCTACATCATTCCTACAGCTTGAACGAACCGTTTCATTGCTAAAGAACAACGTTGTTTCCCGCCAGCCAGTACTTGTGACGTCACGTGCAAAGTATGAATTGCTTTACAATTTGCATAACTCATCTGCTCATTTTTTGCGGACCTTTGTAAAATATTCCAGTGGGACAGCAGCAGCACAGACATACCGAGATCACATGGTGCCACATGCTGAGTCAGTCAGTAACGCGGGACAAGTCTGAACGTTTATTCGCCCAACATAAGCCAGTGATTGTATTAAAATGCAATTCAGCACTGCTGTACAGAGTTTAGAGCTAGAACGGTCATATACCAGCCGCACTTTTGCCTTGGATTCAACAAAGAGAGCTAGGTTGCAATGCCGCCGTTTTGGCTGACAAACAGACCTGAAAACAGCAGATACACGTGCGTATTGTGGCATTAAAGGTGTCAATTAACCGCGCCCGGGGAGAGTTTTGCCTATCACGCAACACAGCTGTGAGCGCACCGCATGCTCCTAAAGCCTTAGGAATAATTTACATGCAGATGAATATACTGCTGCAGAAAGCTTGTTTCATTAAAAAAAGCATCTGTTAACAAAGAATGTCAGAGTTAATTATTCATACAGATAATTCAAAAGGCTACTTCTTCCCATATCTGTATTTTCCATTAAAATGTGTTAAAGAGGCATGCGACGTGACCTTTAGTAGCTATATTTGTGATTTTTGGCTGAAAAAAAAAAATCTAAAACGATGTTGACGCCGTGCAGATTGGTTCTGGGGCTGGAGATGCTCTTCAGTTGGTCATGAAGCGGCATCTGATGTCACTGTCGTTGTCATGGATATTTAAAGATAAATGAATGGCCTCACCAAATGAGGTCATCCAGACTGGGAATACCCCCTTTAAAAGTCCTGTCATACATGTTCTTCTTTGCATCTAGTTCCTCTCTTGTTAGCATCACTTTTCATCCACAGCAACATACTTCCAGCATACTATTTATAAAGTTGTTCTAATGCATGTTTTCTTTTCCACTTTTAGCTTAAATACGTCCTCTGTAGAGTTATTCAGTAGCAGATCTATCCATCTATAGTTCACACAAAATGTTTCTGATCGACTTCACTGAAGACATTTCTCTAAATATTTTCTTGTATGGTATAGAGAAGAAAGAAAGTTATACAGATTTTGTACAACACGAGGGTGACATTTTTAATTTTTGGGTGAACTATCCTTTAAAAAGATATAATGTGCAAAATACGATTTGTGAATTGTACAAGGAATTTCTGAATGAAAAACTGAAAATTTTGTGCAATGTAAAGTCGCAACCTGTTCCTTTTTTATCTTATTTTTAAATTCTGAAGCAAAAACTGGCTTCTATGTATTTTAGTGGATGTGAAGTCAGAATTTCTTCACACAAATCAATCGTTTGGCCTCGGAACACTTGCAATATTTGTACTTTTTGTATAAACTGTGCTTGTAGTCGTGTCTGCTTATTGTTATATCTTGTTTTATATCATAAATGTAGGTTTAGGGTTGGGGATTGGGTTCCATTTTCGTGTAAATAAAATTATACTGGCTGATTAAATTGAGAACTGCACTCAAAAATGTCGTAAAGGCAAAATTATAACCCAATGTATAATTTCATCATGG